GGAACCAGAGAAAGCCTTCCCCTCCTAAACCAACCAGGGCTTCTTATTCTTAAAGCCACTCACTTACACAGACACGGCTACGAAGACAGTGCGAGTACACGGAGACAGAGGGGAACCTCTTCGGGAAAGGAATCCCACTCCCGGCCACCACCGCCAGGATTTGAGCTGTGCCGTCTTTCCTAACTGGCTTTCCCCGTGAAAATGGCAAGCGAGGGCTATATCCATCAGAGCCTCCCACGGACTTTGCAGGAGACCTGCCAAAGCAATGCACAGCCTCTCCCCAGAGCTGCCTTAAAGCATGTGCAATCCCCACCAAGCACAGTGCCCCCGCCTGGCCCACGTGCCCTGCCCACGTGCCAACCTCCCCCAGGGCTATTTGTCCTATTGGGCTGTCTCTCCGGTCCTGAAATGTTCAGTCATCCCCTTGCTGGCCTGTGAACTTGGGCCACAGAGCTGCTTCATTTCATCTATCCGGTTGGCTAAGCGACCAGGGGCCATTCCTCTGTAAATGTTGACGCCCCCTCAAATAACTCCCAGACGTTTGACTGAACACCAGACTAGCTGCCATTCAGTGATCTAGTGTCATGTCCAGAGATCCAACCACCTTCCATCTGCTGTGACCAACTAGTTGAAGGCAGGGTTTCCTTGGGGATCCGATCGACTGCCATGCTGACCCTGTCTTCTGCCGTGGCAGCCCCCCGCTGCCTGACCGATGGGACTCGCCAGGAGGCCACAAGGGCTGTCACCTCTGTGCCACTCAAACCCTCGGCCCTCAAGAACATGCTGACTCAGGTTGTTGTTATTGCTCACGGCAACCCCAGGCGCCACAGAACGGCACGCTGCCTGTCATCCTCACAGTCGTCCCCATGCTCAAGCCCAGTGTGGCGGCAACCGGCATCCATCCCATTTCCTTGAGGCTCTTCCTCTCTTCTCTGCCCCTTTGCTTTACCAGGCTTGAGGTCCTTCTCCAGGGACTGGTCTCTCCGGACGACCGTCCAAAGCATGTAAGACGATGCCTTCCTTGCCTTCCTTGCCTCTCATGATGGGAGCAGACCACCTGATCTTTCTCCCTCGGTGGGTTTGAATGCCAGCCTTGTGGTTAGCAGTCCAAGACCCTAGCCCACGGCCCTGCCAGGGTGCCATACCTCTATGCCCAGGTCCATCACAGACCATTTTACATTGGGCAAATCTGCCGCAGAGGACCTCTTTAAAAGGGTCAAAAGCAAGGCTATCGCTTTGAGGATGGAGGTGTACCCAATCCAAGCCGTGGTCTTTTCAATCGGCTCATGAGCGTGTGAAAGCCGGACCACAGCGAAGGAAGGCTGGGAAGGACCGACGCCTTCCAATTACGGCGTCGGCAAAGAATGTTGACTCTACCAGAGACTTCCAGAAAAACGTGAGCCCCAGTGGTGGGTCACAAGTCGGGTTACTCCCCGTGAGGTCAGTAGTCGGACCCCACCAGCAGCTTCTTAGAAGAAAGATAAGGCTTTCTACTCCTATAAAACTTGTGTGAGTCTGGATAGACCAGAGAAAGAAATTATTAGACACTCAGATATGTATAAGAAAGAGCTTTATATACAAGAGCACTTGAATATTGAGAAAACATCTCAGGCCCGTCCGGATCAAGTCCATAAGTCTGATATGAGCCCATATGTCCAATACCAATCTATAAAGTTCTCTTCAGACTCAGAAAACCCATGGGATGCCACCAAATGCAGGAAGATCACAGGTCAATGGGTGGGAAGTCTTGTGGATCCAGTGGCATTGTAAGCATCTCAGCGCTGACATAGGTCTCCACATGGCTTTCCAACCCCCAGGGCGGCATCAGGGTAGGTCCATGTGGCTTCTCCTCTGAAATGTCTTGCAAGGAATCAGCCTGGTCAGTAGAGAGTCTCCAAGGGAGTGAGCAGAGAGAGAGTATGTCTCCCGCCTCCAAGGAGGAAATACAGGAGTTCCCAGAATCCTCAGGGGAAGGCCATGCCCACACAGAGGCCTCATTGGCTGTCACCTGATTGACAGGTTAGACTCCACCCCTTCACTCTTAGTCTTCAAATTGACACCAGATAATGTAACGCCCACAGAACTGTGGACAGGTTGTCAGGAGAAACCAGTCCCTTGAGAAGGACATCATACTTGGCCAAGTAGAGGGGCAGCACACAAGAGCAAGGCCCTCAATGGGATGGACAGACACCGGGGCTGCAAGGGTGAGCCCAAGTCTAGCAACCATCGTGGAGCTGCCATAGGGCCAGGCGGTGTTTCCGTGTTCCCTTCCGCTGTTCACGGGGTCGCTGTGGGTTGGAACCGCCTCGATGGCACCTGGCAACACCCACAGTCATGCCCGTAAAGAGCCCCGGTCTTGGAAAGCCACGGGGGCCGATCTCTGTCCCCACAGGGTCCCTCTCTGTCAGAATGGGCTCAATGGCTTGACCAAGAACGAACAAGCTTGAACAGACAGAAGGCGGTTTAGAAGTGAGGATGGCGCACCTCGGCCTCGTCTACTTCAGCCCTCGGGAGGGACCAGCGCCCAGAGGAAGACATCGTGCTTCATTGAGTCAGCGCAAAACAGGAGACCTTCCATGACATGGTTGTCACGCAAATGCAATGGCCTCAGGCATCGCCACGGCTGTGAGTGAAGGGGGCACGGGACCGGAAAGCGTTTTGTCCTGTGGACATAGGCCCACAGTGAGTTGGAACCAACTCAAAGGCCCGATCAATGTCACAGCCCTCACCGACTGCTTCTGTTTCTCCAGAGAACTCTGACTTACGCAGGTCCCGAGTGGACGGATCCATGAAGGAGCTTAGAGGGACCATGGCGGGGGTCACTCTCAGAGTTTGCACCCCCAGCCTGCTGCCAGGGAGACCGCCATGGTGAACCCCACCAGTCCTGATGCTGGGCACTCGCCAACATTGCCTGGCACAGAAAA